CCAACACACCTATATCATCTCTACTAACAAACCATCTTCTTTACCAACCCATCAACCCACTAACCATACCCCACAGCTGCAACAAGCAACCACTTCACTGTAATGTCTCCGTTCATTATTTAAAAGAAAGGGAAGCAACTTTGGAAAATTGTTTTTAAAAACACAACCAGATAATCTCTCTTGAATTTCAATGGTATCTTTGCAGTGATTAGATGGTAGTAAATGGAAAATTTCGAGCATTTCCACGTAATTCGAAATTGTTCTTATTTTTTAAAGTACGATTCTTCAGAAGTAAACATGAAAATTAAGTTAGAATTTCCAATATTTAGACGTGTAGCTAAGTTGTGTCATTTTAATGAAGAATATTTTTTTTTATCAAAGAAATAGGGGGAGGGGTGTTAAACATTAAATCTTAAAAAGCTTGTTTAAAAAGTGGACTATAGTCGGTGAGCAAATGATGACGTAGGGTGTGTAATCCGGTCAGACAAGTAACTTACTTATCTTTAAGCTGAAATGGTATACGCCTTCGAACTCTGCCTTGAAGACGCCATTCTGTTCATCAAACTTGTGGCCAGTGCCCTGGTTGACGGTGGTGTTGTAGTGGGTCACTTTAACGTGGGTTACGTTGGTGGGGACCTGGCCTTGGGGTAGGCCGAGAATACGGATGAACTTTTGAGGGTTGCTGTGGTGAGCGGTAGGAAGGTGATTTGTTTCAAGTAGAGTTCATTCTTTTCTTCCGCGGCATTTGAAGGAATGGTGTGGTCAGCTCTATGCGCAGCCGTCTTTGTTTTCCCTAACTTAAGTTAGATACCCATCAACGTTATGACGACTCAAGGACATTCTACTCACTTGAACGTGGATTCAAACTTGAGGCTTTCAGATTAGCAGTATAGCTCTCTACCGCTTTGTCACGCCGTTCCATTAACCTGTGTTATCGAATGTTATTTTAATGGATGGAACTCAGTAAATTGTATCACACTTTGTTTGAGTCAATAGACTCAACTACTCCGGAACTAAACAGATTGGTCTAAATATTAGAGGTCAGTAAATTGAACTCCATCTTGATGGCACACCGCCTTGAAGTGGTGGGATGGCTTGTGTGATCCAGCGACCCCTAGAGCTATGCAGGCGGGAGCCTAGTGCTCCTGGCAGGTCTAACCAAGTTGGACAGATCTGCGTGGGTAGGGGCCAGACCAAACGTTGTGCCCTGGTCCTCCAGGTTGGGTGTTGTGCGATGGGCTAACTACTCATCCACATAAAACAAAATATACTTACAGAAACCGAAGCCAAATCTGAAATTAACGCCAGCGAGTATGTGACTCCCTCTTTCGTCGCGACCCTGGAATGGTAAATGGGACCCAGGGTAAAACTCTCGTCTTCCCAGACTGGTGAATTTTATTTTAAGCTGGACGGTCAATGATCTCAATAACCAAACTAGTTCTGTGATATCGTCTTGACTGAAGTTACAAGCTAGATTGTCTATTTTCAATTCATGTATACACTGTGCATCTAATGGGCTATCTCTCCGCTCGATGATGTCTTTGTCATCAAGTACTTCTAGTGCTAAGTCTTTGTCAGGATAGATGCTACCTAAAAAATAAAAGTAATAAAAAGTTATTTTTATACTTGTAGAAATTTCACTCATTTATGTTATTTATGATGAAAAAACATAAATAACTAAAAATAAAGTAATAAAAATATAATAATTGTTGGCAATAAAGTTTAGTGTGTAGATTTTTGTCAATTTCTCTGTGTATGTCTGTTTGTGTTACGTGATGTATGTATAGGGGGGGGGGGTGTTGTTGTTCTCCACTCCACGCATCCACGTTGGAACAAGGAGGTTTACCAAATTCGCTGTATTCGCTGTCCCGATGATGATTCAAAATTTAAATAAATAAATATAAGTAGCATAATAAATTTAAATAAAAGTTTATTTTGATCGTAAATGAATAAAATATTTTTTTTTTCAAGAAGCAGCAAAACACAAACAGTATTTGAATTAAGCATCATGTAGTGTTAATTAATAACGACAAGTTTGGCTTATATAAGATGTGTTTGCTATTTATACAATATATTTAAATATTCGCAATACCCAACAAGAAATTTATTTTATTTTAGGCAAGAGAATACCAAAATCGTATTGCGTGTTTTAGAAAGTGTTCATAAATACTTTTGCATTGTGTCAAACGAACAGCAAACCAAATAAAATGAGAAAGGCCCCTGCTGACATAATAAAAGTCAAAGCAAATATTAGGTTGCAATAAAATTAATATACGTGGGGCATCGATTATTTTTTCTATTGACGTGTTTAGAAATTCTAACTAAGGGATTTTTAAAAATATTTTATTTCCAAATACATTATTTAAAAATGGATTAAATAGCGTATATTTATTTTTCAATATCCTTATATATATATATATATATATATATATATATATATATATATATATATATATATATATATATATATATATATATAATAACATACATTATTTTATTTAAAATATATTTAAATAGATTATAGGGGTCATCCATAAATGACATCACGCTTTGTTTGGACGATTTTTACCTCCCTTTCCCTTCCGTCACACATTATCACAAAAAGCCAGACGCCCCCCCCCTCCCCAAATAACGTCACATCTCAGCCTACAACCCCCCCCCCACACACACACACACACCCCAGACTTGCAGTTGAATTTTTCTTAAAATACGATATATTTCTAAAATCTTGTCTGAACTCTGTCAAAACTCTGTTAAAACAGTTTTATAAAACGCGAAAAAACGGCTAAAATTCGTTTTCTAACATTGCTTTTTTATAATGCGAAAGTTTGACGTCACACCATCTGAACATCCCCACCCTCACCCCACTCATTGCATACCGTCTCAAAACTACGGATATCCCCTCCCCATTTATGGACGACCCCAGAGGAAAGCAGAGGAAACAACTGTGTTATCAGTTTATTTCAAAATGTTTGGAGCTTTATGAGAAAACTGGTGGATATTGTAGACTGTAGACTGGTAACTAGACCATATTTAGTTAAACCAAAATTTCAAAGATAATTATCTTTTTTATAGTATTTATAATATGCTAAACGAACAAAAACTCATTTAGTAGTTGATCGTAACGAAATGACTACCCAATTGTCACACTACAGATTTTAAAGTATATCAACAAACAGAGCGTATTGTGGTCTGCAAAAAAATAAATAATTTCCCAATAGATTTTGTTGATATCATAATTTTAAAAATGCTATTATTGTATGGCGAAAATAAATTTATATATTAAAAAAACATAGGGACTGAATGGTCAAGCGCTAGGGAGCGGGACTGCTAACCCGTAAGTCTCGAGTTCGAATCCGAGTTCGAAGTCCTTGAGTCCACCCTACTCACATTAGGGAAAGTAAAGGCGGCTGGGCATAGTGCTGACCGCACTATCTCTTCATATGCCGAAGTCACAGAAACAAGTGAACTCTACTTCACTTGCCATATAGAACGTCGGGTTTGAAAAGGGAAATTTCCTTTTTTTTAAACATACTCGCTGGCGTTACTGTCACTCTTGAATTGTGATATCTGCCAAACATGGATTGGATGAGAGGAATGATTGTTTCTTCCAGTCTATTTTCTCCGAGGGGGGGGGGGGGGGGGCACGTGAAATTTTCGGGGGGGGGGGGCGGCCTTAAATTTCCGGGGAGCTGGAGGACACTGTTAATTTTTTTTTCTATATAAATTCCATTTTGTCCAGGGTGGGGAACATGTATGGAAGAAACTCTGTGATATACAACACTTTTTCCATGGTAACGGATGTTACAAGATTCGTATTAAAACATTACTGTTTATATATTATTATCGTATTGCATACTAGCTTGAGCGAGTAGATCCGACTTGTGGTATTTCTGTTGCTTGTAATCAAACATTACTACTTTCTGTCTAGGAACATTGTTGATAAGATTGGTTGATACTTTGATTTAATGTTAAATTGAAAACGTTGGTTTAGTAGGTTTTTAGTTCCTGTTTATTTCGACCGTCACACGAAGAGACGATACTTAGCTGCAAATTAATTAGCATCAAATCAATATAAAGCTTACATATTGTAATCTAAATTGACTTTAGCATACTCAATATTTAGTGGTTGGTTTTATTATTCGGACAATAACTAGCTTGACTTAATCCTCTTAACTCATCATGGAACATAGGACCTTAACAATCCACTTTGTCCAATATCCGGTTCCCCTAAACATAAGTTCTGTTTTTACTGAATTCGGACAATACTCAAACATTATTCTGTATATTTTATTTTTTAGACCGGCATTTATACTTCCCACACGATGACCTTCATATTTTTATACATACAAGTAAAAAAATAAATAACTCAGAACAAAATTCCTTGAACAAAAAGCCTTGGACTTTATAAAGTTTCCAATAAAAAATGTTCTAAGTGACAGAGTAGGGTTTGTCCCCTACTACCAGTGATCCTACAAAGTCTTTAAAGGCTGGTCTTTCTTAAAATATTATTATAAAAGTATATGAAAAGAAAAGTAGTATACTATCTAAGACACATGGGGCAGATGAAGTAGAGTTCATCTGTTTGAAGATCTCAGCATGCTAGGTTGACACTATGGTCAGCACTATGCCTAGCCGCATGCGTTTCCATACTGTGAGTTAGGTACCCATCAGAGTTGAGGGTACGGAATGCGATACACTAAACCCCGGTCCCAATATCATCGGATTGTTCTTGTCAGTATTTGCTTTATTCGCTACGTTTCATTAAACAGCCACGATTTGAAGCACTTTGCTTCGCATAATCAAGAATTAATGCTATGATGTCACTGTCTATGCCTAAACAAATCCCTCTTTTTTTCACTAATAGCAAAGCCCAGTTGCAATCAACATATTACACACACATTTATTGTGTACATTATGTTATTGTTTTAATCAAATACATCTAAAACATTATTTCTTTCATTAAATCATTCTAGAAATAAAATCAATTTAAATCCAACACACAGAAGAGGATAGCGGTCTTGGGTCTTGTTTGATGCCAAAAATCTTCCAATAGAAATCTAGAACTGAAAGGTTATTGTTTATATTATAATATAAAACAATAGACATTGCAGCACTTGGGTCGTGTAAGAAAACTTCGGTAACAGTCCATATTCTAGGCTTAAAAACAGCCGTCTCCCGTTTATATACAGCTAAACAAGGTCAAGAGTATAGTGCGATATATATATATATATATATATATATATATATATATATATATATATATATATATATATATATATATATATATATATATATATACGTATATATATATATATATATATATATATATATATATATATATATATATATATATATATATATATATAAATATATATATATATATAAAATACACAATGAAAAGAGCCATTTAAAGCTTTGAACATATCAATTGACTATGTCATATAGGCTATATTTATATTTAAAATATATCTCTATCTCTTGGTCTTGGGATAGTTATAAGTGGAGTATTTTAAGAATAATTTGAGGTTCTTTTATGTGCAATACTTTTTAAATGCATACATACATTACCTTTATTTTACGTTTGGAAAACAAACTTGAGCATATTTACTGCGAATGTGAATATTATATATATATATATATATATATATATATACACATATATATATATATATATATATATATATATATATATATATATATATATATATATATATATATATATATATATATATATATATTGTTCCATATCCTAAATTAATTAATTAGAAATATTTTCACAGATAAGATATGTGACGTAGTAGCCGAGACGATTGTATGCACACAAAAATGTAAAGTTATGTGTTCGGCATTGAAGCAGATTTTATATATATATATATATATATATATATATATATATATATATATATATATATATATATATATATATATATATATATATATATATATACATATATATATACATATATATATATATACATATATATATATATATATATATATATATATATATATATATATATATATATATATATATATATATATATATATAATCTTCTTTTTATTGTTATAAGTTAAACGTTAGCTTTGATTATTTATTTACGCTGTGTTCCTGTTTAATTTCCAATATTATTCCAATATTATCATACATTTTCGTTTGGATACGATTGGGAGCTCTAGAAATAAAAAAAATATGAAGAAAGCAATGTTTTTTTCTTCTTGTAGTATTTACATTTGAATGCGCGACTCACTGTTGAATGACTTTTTTTTCGGCAAAAAAAAAACAAGAATTAAAAAAAAATAATTAAAAAACAACAAATAAAAACAAGAGACAAATATTGGTTAAAAAACCTAACAAAGACAGCAATACATAACCGGATTTGTAAAATAAAATATTACATTGTTTAAATGAACAGGAAATAAGTTGAAAACACACAAAAAACAAGGTATTTTTTCTGCAAATATATTTAACATTGTGCAGTGGAAGAAATTAACATAAAAGAAACTGTAAATGACGTCACACTCCTAAGGGGGAGGGGGGTTCGTATTTTTTCATGGTGTGTGATGACAGGGGGGGAGGATGTTTCAGGTGGTGTGACTTCATACTTTTGCATTATTAAAAAAAATGTTAGAAAACGAATTTTAGCCGTTATTTCGCGTATTAGAAATCTGTTTCAATAAAGCGTAATAGCAATTGATTAAAATGCTCTATGATGATAGAGTTCTGACAAGATTTTGGAAAAATATCGACGTTTTAAGAAAAATTAAACTGCAATTTTGAGGGGGGGGGGGGGGGTTCTAGGCTGAGGTATGACGTCATTTTTTGGGAGGGGGGGAGGGGATGTGGCTTTTTGTGACGATGTGTGACGGAGGGGACGGGGGATGTAAAAAACGTTTAAAAAGCGTGATGTCATTTATGGATGACCCCCTTATTACCTGCAGTAGTATCCATCGCAACAGGGTAACTGGGTATATACACATTCCTGCCACTGTCCCCGGCACCAATCATCACTGACGGTTCAAACATATAAGAGAAGAAGAGCAAATAGAATACAAAAATCAACGTTTGTTTAGCGCAATCACTGATAGTTCAAACATACAAGAAAAGAAGAACAAATTGGATACAAAATCAACGTTTGTTTAACGCAATCACTGATGGTTTAAACATACAATAAAAGAAGAGCAAATAGGATACAAAATCAACGTTTGTTTAACGCAATCACTGATCGATTAAACATACAAGAGAAGAAGAACAAATTGGATACAAAATCAGTCTTTGTTTAGCGCAATCACTGATGGTTTAAACATACAAGAGAAGAAGAACAAATAGGATACAAAATCAATCTTTGTTTAGCGCAATCACTGATGGTTTAAACATACAAGAGAAGAAGAACAAATTGGATACTAAATCAACGTTTGTTTAACGCAATCACTGATGGTTTAAACATACAAGAGAAGAAGAACAAATTGGATACAAAATCAACGTTTGTTTAACGCAATCACTGATGGTTTAAACATACAAGAGAAGAAGAACAAATAGGATACAAAATCAATCTTTGTTTAACGCAATACTTGTTAGTAGCGTAGTCAAGATATTATAAGAAGACGGACAAACCATAAGTAGTTAAAGACAGTGGTGGACAGGACCGGTGGGCACCTTAGTAAGAGATAGGGAGAGGGGCCAGTAATGGTGGTGTACTAGGTCTTATAGTGCGTGAACTTTTAAAATTAAAATTGCCGGGTCAATTATCATCCAGATTAGGCTTATCATCAGGCGCTGGTGGAGGAAAAATGTACAATGACAATGTCTTCTTCTTTTCTTCTTCTGCGTTCTTTTTTTAGTGTTGGAAGGGATCCCCTCCACCACAGTTAAGTATACGTGTCAACTGGTTATGCGCCATTGAGGCCATTGACTCCGATTTCAGCCTGCTTTTATTTTTGGATTTGTTTCTATAGCCTATGTCCAACCACGAACAAACTACAAGGCATCAGTTGTTTGATTTTGGAGTTGTCTCTCCTAGACTAGTGGCTGTCCCCAGATAATCTGCCCGAGGATTCGAACTCAAGACATTTCGATTTAGCAACCATGAGCTTTACCGACTCGACCACGCCGAACCCCCACAATGACAAATGTGGTCTGGGGTTGGGGTCCATTTTTTTAAACTAACCTACAGCCAGTCCAACCCTGGTTTAAGATGTGAAGAAAAAAAAAACAACAACATACCGTTTCTCTAGATGTCCCGCTATAAAATGTTAAATAAAAAAAAACATACAATTTAGATGTTAAAATTGATCTTTTGTATAAGAGACTTTAAACAGTAATAAAAATGAATTAGTCACGGTGTTTGCCTTTAAACGTATCGAGTTCTTGAAGTACGTAAAGACGGACAGGCCTAGTGCTTACTCAACCAATCTGTCATAGCTTAGATAGATAAAATAAGACTAGACTGGTAGAGACTAATAAGGACGGTGTAAATTTTATGGTACACAATTTGGTTCGAGGGTATAGGGCTGGTAAGTAGGTCACCAACAAGTTCTATGGCTCATGCAGGTTTTATTGAGCAGTAGAACTGGTTGGTGACCTACTTACCAGCCCTATTGTGTGCGTGTTTAATAAAATATTTGTGGCGTGAGTTTGAATTCAGCGTGACTCGACAATGTTACCGATGACGTAGGAAGAAACATTGAAGACAGTTGGGGGTTAGCCGTTGTAGGAAAATGACCTGTTTTGATATTGTGTAGTTCTTGTATTTGATAATAAAATTAATTCTATTTTATGATCGAAGTTGTTTATATTGTCAACTTAGTGTCGTCGGAAAATAAGAGTGTTCCCGTCCTCAATACATATTTATAGTAATATACTTGGAGTGTTAGTTATAGCAGTAGTCATCATATAGTTTAATATAGCAACGCATACATTTCACCCCATCAAAAAACCCTTCATGTGTCGAGGTCAAGATGTACATGAACTCTACTTCTCAAATGATCGCCATTTCAAATTATCTTATTTTCATGTATGTTTTCAGGTATTGCAATAGACATGCACGCAGTAATTACCAAAAATAATTATATTATTAAATATATCTTGCGTTATTACAAACAATCAAACATTTCCGATATACCAACTTTTAATCAACCGCTACATCTAACTACTGTATGTCCTCCTTCCAAGATAAAAATAGAAAGTAAATAAAGAAAATACAATCTACAAAGCAGCCGACCCAGATTATTCACTCAACTAGTGGTGAAGTATAATTCTAGCGCTTTTCTCCTAAGGGTCTCCGCAAGAATACGTTAACGTTAGTAAACCTATAGCAATACAACATGTTAACATATTACCTCTGTTCATCAACATGAACGAAGTGGCTGTTGCAAGCAATATCATCAGGACCACAGCAACTTTAATGTTCAACATGTTCTTGTTTTCACTTTGCCAGCTCCTCACTGAATGCTAAGGTAACGTAGCTTGATGGTAGGCGCTATGCAAGTTAATTTAACTTGAATGTAATTGGTTTTACATAGATAATGTTAACAACATCAAGAAATCTATTTTTTTTTATATTTCTCATCCAAAAAGGAACATTGTGTAATATAATTTCAAAGTAAAAAAGGAACCTATGGAGTTCTATTTAACCTAAATTGCAAACATTTCACATAATATGGAACTTAGTGTCTTTATATTACTTTAAATAGGGAACCTTGTTTTATTACAATCCTAGGGATAATCCGCTTGCTTTGACACGCGGACCTGCCATTTTTAATGTAAAAGCAATGTTGTTGTGATAAAAAAATAAATCGATGGGTTGACATAAACCTGATTTATACTGATTGTTGATCGAATAAGAAATTCGGAGCAAATGTCTATCGGTCTAATATATATATATATATATATATATATATATATATATATATATATATATATATATATATATATATATATATATATATATATATATATATATATATATATATATATATATATATATATATATATATATATATATATATATATATATTAACAGGGGGGTGGGTGGGTGGTGACACCATTAAGTGACGCACCGGGTTACACCGACCTGCTACGCCACTGCTCTGCATTCATTCCTACACACCTCCTTTCGCTCGCTCACAACACACCCGCTTTCACTCGACCAGTGGCTTCCCTTGTACGCTCGTTCACTCCGTATAACAACATACACGTCAACACACCCCGGCCTCACGTCTACCATTATGAGTAGAAAGTAAGTAAATATAATAAGTATATGAAATGTATTCATGGGTTATTTTTAGGGACTCTGGGTTAAACAACTGCATACAGAGAAGACAAAAGTCAAGAAGTTAAAAACTAACCATCTCACTGTTCTGAAAACGTAATTTACAGCCTTCTTCAACAGTGGTCAGATTTGACAGCACACATGTTGGATCCACGGTGTTATGATTGGGATTAGCATAGGATAGAGGACTAGGATAGAATATCGTTTAATTCTTAATTGTATCTATGTCTACACTATTATATTGTTTAACTGTAGGTTAGATATATCATAATAGGTGTAATAGGAATAGCTCTTAGTGAGTCTGACTGTAAGTCCACTAACTAGATACAAGCCTTTAGATTGTAATTACGGATGACAGCCATGTTGACCTGTGTAACCGTGGTGCAGACAGTATGGCCATAGATTGGGTGAAAACCTAGGAAGTTATCAGTAATGTCTGGCATTTTAATTAGGTACGACAGAACTGTGGCGACATACACATTAGGTTAGGCTTAGTGGGGGAAAACTAAGAAGCTAGGAACTGTGAGGGTTACAGGACAGTTGAACGTTTGCCTTGTGAGGGTGTAGTCGTGTTTTGTTTTTTAAAGTGTGGTAGGGGCTGGGCCCTAAGACTTGACGTTACTGATGACCATGTTTATTTCTTGGTTTTGACAAGACCAACAGTATCAACCATTAAAGTTAATGAGCTAAAATTGTGTTTGTGTTTTCTTGAACCTCTCACTGCAGTCATTGGTACTCACCATACTGATGACGTCATAACATTTTAGCGAAGCAGCGAAAGTTATTCATAACATTTGTATTCATAACACAGGGATAGGCGTGCATGTTAGATCCAAGAAAACCTAATCATATGAAACAACTATTTATTTTTATCAGTTCTGAATATATGTGGTAATTTAAAAAACAAGTTAATTAAAAGTCTAGTGATAATTTAAGAGCAAATTCCTTATGATATCCATAACAATTTTAAATCGAGATAAATTATATTCAGCAAATTAATGCAACACAAGTAGTTTCGTTTCTCTCTACACGAGCAGAGCTAGTCCCCGCTCCCTCGCGAGATCTGCGCGAGTCTGGCCAATGGCAGCGTGACGTTACCTCTCACTAGTGATTGCCTCAGCCGGTGTGCTTGTGGTAGAAATATTTGTATATTTTTAGTAATCTTAGCAAATACAAATTAGAAGAAATTAATTTTTTGTGACCAAACGAAAGGATATTTTTGATAACTTTCTTCGGCAATATTGTTCTAAATTATGGCAGGAATCGATTGGTAAATGTTTCAAGTCATTAAGTGGTCTGATTGCCGAGATATGGGCCAAAAACTGCATTTTTTCGAGTTTTTTTGGCTTTTCTGGGAAATACAGGAAGGAAACCCGAGAATTTTTTTGGCCTATGTTCATCAGGGTCGTCCATAAATGACGTCACACTCGTAGGGGGGAGGGGTCCGTAATTTTGTGTTTTGTGACGGTGTGTGATGAGGGGGTTGGGGGGGTTCAGATGGTGCGACGTCACACTTTTGCATTATAAATAAACCGGGAGTGATCTCCCCAAAACTTTCTCGAATATTCTTATATAAAATAACAGGGGATGGGAACTCTGGCTATAGACATGATTTTTAATCCATTTTAAATACTTAAAGTTTTAAAAATAGAATAAAATCTCGTAGACCAAATAATGCACACCAAGTGAACGCCAAATAAACAAGTTAATAAAAAGTCTAGCGACAATTTAAGCGCAATTTCCTTATTTATCCTCCACGACGCTTGATTTGCATGACGATCGGCGTGTTTGACTATGATTAAAACCCGCCCTCTTGTTTGTAAACATTAGCACGTGAAAAATACGAGCTACGAGTAGCTCGCCTCTCTCTCTTGCCGCGCGCAGTGACGCAAGCGATCCCACGTCGCTACAGGCTATTAGTTTAAATTAACAAGTTAATAAAAAGTCTAGCGACAATTTAAGCGCAATTTCCATAACAATTTTTAATTTTTAATTTTTTATAAATATCATCCTATAAATATAAACTCATACACGATGCTCAGTTTAAATCATCCTAGGCCTACAAGATGCTCAGTTTAAATGTTCTTAATTAATTTTTTGTGACCGAACGAAAAGATATTTTTGAAATTTTTTTTCGGCAATATTGGTCTAAATTATGGCAGAAAACGATTGATAAATGTTTCAAGTCGCTAAGTGGTCTGGTTGCCGAGATATGGAGCAAAACCTGCATTTTTCGAGGTTTTTTGGCCCATACCGGGAAATTCAGGAAGTAATTCCGGGAATTTTTTTGGCCCACAATCATCCTCTGAACTTGCTTAACATATTTGCTTTGGAACTAGTCCTCGATATTGCTTCATTGAGGAGGAGATACGACTTAAAGGCTGCGGACACACATCCATCCATTCCCAGAAATGACGAGTTATTAAACGCAATTTTTTTTTTTGCCAGTATGGAAGTTGCGCTAAAAAACAACTCATAGTGATTTATTTTTCTTTAGCACTTATTGGGTGCGCTTGTTTGGGCTAAAACTAATATATATTACCTACCTAATTTAATAATATACTCTTTACTGATGAAGTAAAAATACTTTTTAAAAAATATCATGCTGAAGTAGTTTCACGATTTTTATTACAGCTCTTAATGGTCAGCACAATTTCAAACTGCATTTACTCTGCATGACCAGAGAGTTGGAGTTGTGTTAAATCAGAGGCAACTTACAGGATCAAGAATCAGATTTATACTTAAGAAGCAAATGTTCTTGAGTATAAATCTGATTCACAATTATAGAGTTTCACTAAGCGTTTTCATTTGCACAAAACGTGGTTGATTTAATATGAATATCTAATATATCATTTGTTAAAATTATTCCTCGTCCAAAATAATATACTAAAATGAAACTCATTTTGTTAATAGAAGGAAATAACGAATACAAATTTCCAATAAAACATCAAATGAGTTTAGCTGAAATGTTGAGTTGTGTATTTTATTAACAAAGGTACAATCAAAACAACTATTGTAATTGGATTTGTGTGTCTATGAAATATCTGATAAACAAGATCAAAATTTATTGTGATCGTCAATAAACAACATCAAGATATTATGGGGTTTGGGAGATTATGACTTTTGGGAGAAGAGCGATGGTTTCCGGAAACTGCCTGCATTGTATAACAGTCATGTTTAGAAAGTGACTTTAAGTCTTTATTTCGTGTTATTAAGAGTTGTTTCATAGATGTTTTGTAGAGATTGATAAATAAATAAATGATTAAAATAAATGATTATTGTCCTTTTTTTTTCATTTTAAATCTGAATTTTAGGCATTCGCAACGACACAATTCAATAATACGTGTTAAATGATTATGTAACATTTAGACTGTTGACTCCGATTTCAGCCTGCTTTTCTGTCAAAAATCAATAATAATATTTAACTGTGTAATTTATATGTATTGCTTAGATTACCGCGTTTGCGCAAGCCTGATTTATCTGCCTTATATTCTTTCAAAATGTTTACAAGCGTACTGTTTTTATTTTACTACTGGTATTAATTATAATATAAATAACTAAATTTGTGCTTAGAAAAAAAAAACAGCAAACGCTATTTTATAGTCATTCATAAACACGCAACACAAAGAAAGGAAAGCAGATATATTTTTTTGGGATGGGGGAGGTGGAGAAGATATAACAGAATTATAAGGGGGTTAACGAGTTGTTGTGGGGATATGACCTCGCCGTTTTTCTGGCTTAAAGTTAACCATGTAATTTCATTTGCTAATTATTAAGTTCAATATTGAGAAATGACCGACGATAACATACATCGCAATACTACTATTGCAAAGCCAAATATTAGTTGTGTTGAACATCTCTCCAACCCTTCAGTCAGCGTTTATAGTATCTTTTCACCTGGCGACACAGCTAAATGTTCTGATATGATCAGCGTTCACGTAGTAAAAAACCAAAGGATGAAAAAATAACTTTAAAAACATTGTCAATGCCAGATGTTTATTTTTTCTAGAAGTTTAGTTTATTCATTGTGTTTTATCAACGGGAGAAACCTAAAACAGAGTTAGTAAAATAGTACAGTTTTATTTACAATCCAATATATATATATATATATACATATATATATATATATATATATATATATATATATATATATATATATATATATATATATATATATATATATATATATATATATATATATATATATATATATATATACACATATATATATATATATACACACATATATATATATATACACACACATATATATATATATATATATATATATATATATATATATATATATATATATATATATATATATATATAAACACATATATATACATATATATATATATATATATATATATATATATATATATATATATATATATATATATATATATATATATATATATATATATATATATATATATATATATATATATATATATAAATATATATATAAATATATATACAAATAATAAATTTCTAAAAATACCGACTGTTCCATTATATTAAATTTTTTAATTTACATAGCACGCAAACTTTTGATGCGCATATTTAAACTTGTACATCATAAATCTACGATAGTTTTTAATTCAGTATATTGACAACGTTTTTATTTGTTTTAATTTGATTTTCGCAATCCGTTTTATAAATGGAAATCGTAAAGATTTGCTTAGTAAGTTATTGTATGCAATTTGTTTTTGATCGCTTTAAAAGTGTATAAATCATAAGATGAGGTAAATTTGAATCGAGAGTAAAATGAGAGGGTGCTGAACTTTTTGATTAAGTGTTGTGGTTGTACCTATATGTAGAATTGACGCAAACACTGTTAATAGTGAAAATGTCGGAAAGGATTCACAAAAATCAGGTGTACGTCAATATTATCAGACTGGCATGCAGCGAATTTTCAAAAAAATTAAAACAATCTGTTAACACGGTAGTTGGTTAGCTTGCACATATGTGCTCAGGGGATGGGTGAAGAAAGGCGAATAGTATATTAGGGCCTGGGTTTGGGACGTTAGTGGTGTGGGGATGAGGTATTTAGTGGCAGTCGGCTGGGACGGGTGCGGCATATATGAACGGGTTGCTCTGAGCCCGGGGGTGTAGCCGGTGTGTGTGTATAGATATGATTTTAAGGGAACGTGTGTATTCGGTTTGGCCGTGGATTTTTCGGGTATCTTTGTCTAGCTATTATGCTATTCAAATATCAGAAAACCTTAGGTATAACAAGATAGTGATTAGAAGAAACATACAAACGAAAGTATAATTATATGTATGTTTAAAAATGTATTTATAAACTTATTTATAAACTTATAGAACAACCCCAACGCTACGTATTATTTTACAGCGCCCTATAACATACGTTACTTTTCGATTTCCAACATGTGCGCTAGACATATGTACATTCTTTTTTTCCGAGCCTAAAAAAATAGAAAAGAAAAGTAATATCAACAAATATTGGTGAAGGTTTTGATTATTCAATGTTTATAAACAGTTTTTCACGTGTCGCTGTTATACATTTAACATCTCTAGCTATAGTTTTCTAAATACTCCTGGATTCTGTAGCTCAATTTTGATATTTAGTATAAAAACAATTAGTATTTATTTACCAAGTAGGCTGTAGAGAATCTATTGTAATCAAGCACGAAATAGTTTTCTAAATTTCTTTACATCCTAAACATTTCTAGGTAAAAAAACAGTTTTGCGTGCGAATGCCTGAGAGTCATTATAACCAGGGTAAAGTTTTATTCATATTGGCACAGCCTCAGTCCGACAGCAACGACTATATTATTTAATTTTTTTGCCATTGTACACCGAGCTTATTAATTTCTAACATAATATTATTATTGTAAATACTACAGGCTTAAAAATATTTTTTGGTGTCAATTTCTAATTGAATATGAGGAACAATAAACCATAAGAAAAATCAAATTCAATTAAAATATAGATTTTTACAATACAAAAGAAACTTATAATTTCAAAGACTTAAACAATGTTCCGTACCTATTTACGACGCAAATAGCTGAACCGCAGCAATCACCATGATTTAAACAGCTTCCACTCGGCTTACAACAACTGTTTGATTAAAAAAAAAGGTGAAATATTATGTATAAGTATAAGTATAAGTATAAGTATAAGTATAAGTATAAGTATAAGTATAAGTATAAGTATAACTATAAGTATAAGTATAAGTATAAGTATAAGTATAACTATAAGTATAAGTATAAGTATAAGTATAAGTATAAGTATAAGTATAAGTATAAGTATAAGTATAAGTATAAGTATAAGTATAAGTATAAGTATAAGTATAAGTATAAGTATAAGTATAAGTATAAGTATAAGTATAAGTATAAGTATAAGTATAAGTATAAGTATAAGTATAAGTATAAGTATAAGTATAAGTATAAGTATAAGTATAAGTATAAGTATAAGTATAAGTATAAGTATAAGTATAAGTATAAGTATAAGTATAAGTATAAGTATAAGTATAAGTATAAGTATAAGTATAAGTATAAGTATAAGTATAAGTATAAGTATAAGTATAAGTATAAGTATAAGTATAAGTATAAGTATAAGTATAAGTATAAGTATAAGTATAAGTATAAGTATAAGTATAAGTATAAGTATAAGTATAAGTATAAGTATAAGTATAAGTATAAGTATAAGTATAAGTATAAGTATAAGTATAAGTATAAGTACAAGTATAAGTACAAGTACAAGTACAAGTACAAGTACAAGTACAAGTACAAGTACAAGTACAAGTACAAGTACAAGTACAAGTACAAGTACAAGTACAAGTACAAGTACAAGTACAAGTACAAGTACAAGTACAAGTACAAGTACAAGTACAAGTACAAGTACAAGTACAAGTACAAGTACAAGTACAAGTACAAGTACAAGTACAAGTACAAGTACAAGTACAAGTACAAGTACAAGTACAAGTACAAGTACAAGTACAAGTACAAGTACAAGTACAAGTACAAGTACAAGTACAAGTACAAGTACAAGTACAAGTACAAGTACAAGTACAAGTACAAGTACAAGTACAAGTACAAGTACAAGTACAAGTACAAGTACAAGTACAAGTACAAGTACAAGTACAAGTACAAGTACAAGTACAAGTACAAGTACAAGTACAAGTACAAGTACAAGTACAAGTACAAGTACAAGTACAAGTACAAGTACAAGTACAAGTACAAGTACAAGTACAAGTACAAGTACAAGTACAAGTACAAGTACAAGTACAAGTACAAGTACAAGTACAAGTACAAGTACAAGTACAAGTACAAGTACAAGTACAAGTACAAGTACAAGTACAAGTACAAGTACAAGTACAAGTACAAGTACAAGTACAAGTACAAGTACAAGTACAAGTACAAGTACAAGTACAAGTACAAGTACAAGTACAAGTACAAGTAAGTACAAGTACAAGTACAAGTACAAGTACAAGTACAAGTACAAGTACAAGTACAAGTACAAGTACAAGTACAAGTACAAGTACAAGTACATACAAGTACAAGTACAAGTACAAGTAAAGTACAAGTACAAGTACAAGTACAAGTACAAGTACAAGTACAAGTACAAGTACAAGTACAAGTACAAGTACAAGTACAAGTACAAGTACAAGTACAAGTACAAGTACAAGTACAAGTATAAGTATAAGTATAAGTATAAGTATAAGTATAAGTATAAGTATAAGTATAAGTATAAGTATAAGTATAAGTATAAGTATAAGTATAAGTATAAGTATAAGTATAAGTATAAGTATAAGTATAAGTATAAGTATAAGTATAAGTATAAGTATAAGTATAAGTATAAGTATAAGTATAAGTATAAGTATAAGTATAAGTAGAAGTATAAGTATAAGTAGTAGAAGTAGAAGTAGAAGTAGAAGTAGAAGTAGAAGTAGAAGTAGAAGTAGAAGTAGAAGTAGAAGTAGAAGTAGAAGTAGAAGTAGAAGTAGAAGTAGAAGTAGAAGTAGAAGTAGAAGTAGAAGTAGAAGTAGAAGTAGAAGTAGAAGTAGAAGTAGAAGTAGAAGTAGAAGTAGAAGTAGAAGTAGAAGTAGAAGTAGAAGTAGAAGTAGAAGTAGAAGTAGAAGTAGAAGTAGAAGTAGAAGTAGAAGTAGAAGTAGAAGTAGAAGTAGAAGTAGAAGTAGAAGTAGAAGTAGAAGTAGAAGTAGAAGTAGATAGAAGTAGAAGTAGAAGTAGAAGTAGAAGTAGAAGTAGAAGTAGAAGTAGAAGTAGAAGTAGAAGTAGAAGTAGAAGTAGAAGTAGAAGTAGAAGTAGAAGTAGAAGTAGAAGTAGAAGTAGAAGTAGAAGTAGAAGTAGAAGTAGAAGTAGAAGTAGAAGTAGAAGTAGAAGTAGAAGTAGAAGTAGAAGAAGTAGAAGTAGAAGTAGAAGTAGAAGTAGAAGTAGTAGAAGTAGAAGTAGAAGTAGAAGTAGAAGTAGAAGTAGAAGTAGAAGTAGAAGTAGAAAGTAGAAGTAGAAGTAGAAGTAGAAGTAGAAGTAGAAGTAGAAGTAGAAGAAGTAGAAGTAGAAGTAGAAGTAGAAGTAGAAGTAGAAGTAGAAGTAGAAGTAGAAGTAGAAGTAGAAGTAGAAGTAGAAGTAGAAGTAGAAGTAGAAGTAGAAGTAGAAGTAGAAGTAGAAGTAGAAGTAGTAGAAGTAGAAGTAGAAGTAGAAGTAGAAGTAGAAGTAGAAGAAGTAGAAGTAGAAGTAGAAGTAGAAGTAGAAGTAGAAGTAGAAGTAGAAGTAGAAGTAGAAGTAGAAGTAGAAGTAGAAGTAGAAGTAGAAGTAGAAGTAGAAGTAGTAGAAGTAGAAGTAGAAGTAGAAGTAGAAGTAGAAGTAGAAGTAGAAGTAGAAGTAGAAGTAGAAGTAGAAGTAGAAGTAGAAGTAGAAGTAGAAGTAGAAGTAGAAGTAGAAGTAGAAGTAGAAGTAGAAGTAGAAGTAGAAGTAGAAGTAGAGAAGTAGAAGTAGAAGTAGAAGTAGAAGTAGAAGTAGAAGTAGAAGTAGAAGTAGAGAAGTAGAAGTAGAAGTAGAAGTAGAAGTAGAAGTAGAAGTAGAAGTAGAGTAGAGTAGAAGTAGAAGTAGAAGTAGAAGTAGAAGTAGAAGTAGAAGTAGAAGTAGAAGTAGAAGTAGAAGTAGAAGTAGAAGTAGAAGTAGAAGTAGAAGTAGAAGTAGAAGTAGAAGTAGAAGTAAAGTAGAAGTAGAAGTAGAAGTAGAAGTAGAAGTAGAAGTAGAAGTAGAAGTAGAAGTAGAAGTAGAAGTAGAAGTAGAAGTAGAAGTAGAAGTAGAAGTAGAAGTAGAAGTAGAAGTAGAAGTAGAAGTAGAGTAGAAGTAGAAGTAGAAGTAGAAGTAGAAGTAGAAGTAGAAGTAGAAGTAGAGTAGATAGAAGTAGAAGTAGAAGTAGAAGTAGAAGTAGAAGTAGAAGTAGAAGTAGAAGTAGAAGTAGAAGTAGAAGTAGAAGTAGAAGTAGAAGTAAGTAGAAGTAGAAGTAGAAGTAGAAGTAGAAGTAGAAGTAGAAGTAGAAGTAGAAGTAGAAGTAGAAGTAGAAGTAGAAGTAGAAGTAGAAGTAGAAGTAGAAGTAGAAGTAGAAGTAGAAGTAGAAGTAGAGAAGTAGAAGGTAGAAGTAGAAGTAGAAGTAGAAGTAGAAGGTAGAAGGTAGAGGTAGAGTAGAAGTAGAAGTAGAGGTAGAGGTAGAGGTAGAGAGTAGAAGGTAGAAGGTAGAAGGTAGAGGTAGAGTAGAAGTAGAGGTAGAGGTAGAGGTAGAGGTAGAGGTAGAGGTAGAGGTAGAGGTAGAGGTAGAGGTAGAGGTAGAGGTAGAGGTAGAGGTAGAGGTTAGAGGTAGAGGTAGAGGTAGAGGTTAGAGGTAGAGGTAGAGGTAGAGGTAGAGGTAGAGGTAGAGGTAGAGGTAGAGGTAGAGGTAGAGGTAGAGGTAGAGGTAGAGGTAGAGGTAGAGGTAGAGGTAGAGGTAGAGGTAGAGGTAGAGGTAGAGGTAGAGGTAGAGGTAGAGGTAGAGGTAGAGGTAGAGGTAGAGGTAGAGGTAGAGGTAGAGGTAGGGTAGAGGTAGAGGTAGAGGTAGAGGTAGAGGTAGAGGTAGAGGTAGAGGTAGAGGTAGAGGTAGAGGTAGAGGTAGAGGTTGAGGTAGAGGTAGAGGTAGAGTGGGTAGGGTAGAGGTAGAGGTAGAGGTAGTGGTAGGGAGGTAGAGGTTGGGTAGAGGTAGAGGTAGAGGTAGAGGTAGAGGGTAGAGGTAGTAGGGTAGAGGTAGAGGTTGAGGTAGGGTAGAGGTAGGTAGGGTAGAGGTAGAGGTAGGGTAGGGTAGGGTAGTGGTAGAGGTAGAGGTAGAGGGTAGAGGTAGAGGTAGAGGTAGAGGTAGAGGTAGGTGAGGTAGAGGTGAGGGTTGAGGTAGAGGTAGAGGTAGAGGTAGAGGTAGAGGTTAGAGGTAGAGGTGTGGTAGTGGTAGAGGTTGAGGTAGAGGTAGAGGTAGAGGTAGAGGTAGAGGGTTGAGGTAGAGGTTGGGTAGAGGTAGAGGTAGAGGTAGGGTAGAGGTAGTGGTAGAGGTAGAGGTTAGAGGTAGAGGTAGAGGTAGAGGTAGAGGGTAGAGGTAGAGGTAGAGGTAGGGTAGAGGTAGAGGTTGGGAGGGTAGAGGTAGAGGTAGAGGGTAGAGGTAGAGGGTGAGGGTAGAGGTAGTGGTTGAGGTAGAGGTAGAGGTAGAGGTAGAGGTTGAGGTAGAGGTAGGTTGTGGTAGAGGTAGAGGTAGAGGTTGAGGTAGAGGTAGAGGTAGAGGTGTGAGGTAGAGGTAGAGGTTGAGGTGTAGGGTAGAGGTAGAGGTAGAGGTAGAGGTAGAGGTAGAGGGTAGAGGTAGAGGTAGAGGTAGAGGTAGAGGTAGAGGTAGAGGTAGAGGTAGAGGTAGGTAGGGTAGAGGTAGAGGGTAGAGGTAGAGGTAGGGTAGAGGTAGAGGTAGAGGTAGAGGTAGGTAGGTATAGGTTAGGGTTAGGTATAGGTATAGGTTATAGGTATAGGTATAGGTATAGGTTAGGTATAGGTATAGGTATAGGTATAGGTTAGGTAGGTATAGGTATAGGTATAGGTATAGGTATAGGTATCGGTATAGGTATAGGTATAGGTATAGGTATAGGTATAGGTATAGGTATAGGGGGTTGTCCAAAATCCAAAAAAAAATTGTGGACGTCATAAATGGATGACCCCGTATTTAATTTACGTACGATTCTCTGCATACACAATGAATTCTAATCTCAATAAATTGTTTTAATCACATTACAATTTATAAAAGATAGTTTAAGTAGACTCACCTGTCTGATACAACAAAGAGATTTGCCATACAGACCAGAAGAAGAAGAAATGCGATCTTCATTTTATCAGCTTAGTAAATCTAACATAACAATTTAAAATATAAAGTTTTGCGTTTATACAAATATTTTATCGATGTTATTATGTATCAACTATTAAATTAATTTACTTATTCCATTCCTAACCGATAACACATTTTACAAAGCCAGTTAAAATATATTGTAAATATCATACTGCAAAACTATTATTACTTTTTTGCATAGAAATAATGCGGGAGTGATCTCCCCTAAACCCTCTCAAATATTCTTAGGAAAAAACTAAAGTGGAAGAAAAGTAGAATAAGTCCAACTTCCATTTTCCGAAAATCGCTAAATAGTGGACACATTTGATATAATACTTATATACGAAATGTTGTCAAAGTCGTTGTAAATGTGGTCAAGTTATCGAGTTCACAGACAGACAGACAGACACATACATACACACACACAAACAGACATACAGACAAGATTGCAAAATTAAGTGTTTCCTACTAAATCGTCGAGATTTGTGAATACTCTGTTTCGTTTTTTTGCCCTAATGCAATACTTCCTTAAAAATATGTAAACATAAAGACATTTTGTTAATGAAAATAAATATGTATTATCAAAAAAAATTATTTACTACAAAGCTAACTTGGAAAGAAATTACATTTTTTAAAAAAATATTAATTTAACTTGTTCAAAAACAAAAATTGAATACATTTTATATTGCTAGATGAAATATATTGTACATGTCATGTGTTCAATTTATTTTTAATTATAATTTGTACTTAGAAAATATGTAAACATGAATATATTTTATTGATGCAAATATATTATCTGTAACAAATTATTTACTACAAAGCTAACTTACAATGATGTATGTCTTACAGATACACGAGTAGTTTAAATGATGACCGTACATTGAATAGACATTTTATATATGCACGTTTTCTAACGTGGATGATTTCGATTGGCTAGTATTCACAACGCTAGTCTTTAAAAAACACAAAAATTTAATATTATATTTTAAACTTTTAAAGAGTTTTCAGCAGATTAGTAATATAATAGTTGAGTAATGAGTGGAGTTTGCCATATTAAATCCAAGTTTCGAAATGAAAGAATACCATAAGGATTAAGTTAGATATATTTTTTCCACCATTTGTATTGGGGAAGGGCGCCTAATACATGGGTAACATCTGGCTCTTCTCATCTTACCACTTAGGCATTATGCTTGGATTTTCTATCCTCTATCACTAAATGTTCGATAAGTCTTCTGAACCACATTTAGAATTTCATGATGGGTGCGGTTTGTAAAATGTATATAGATGTACATTTGATACGAAACATGTGTTACATGCGTATCAACATGTTATGCGCTCAGTCGCACATACACAAATAAAATGCACAAAAAAACCGCTTTAATAACAAGCTTTTAGCATGCACTAAAGCAATTAAAATAATGATTTTCTTTAAAATTATAATATTACAATATTAGCCGAGCTAATCTAAGCTAAGATAATCTAAGATAACGTAATATAAGCTAAAGAAATCTAGAGCTCAATGGCATAGGTTCGTATATATCGATTTCCCTGTGACCCGTAAGAAGCGCAAACAGAAAAAAGCGCAAACAGAAGAAAGCGCAAACAGAAAATACCGCACATATAAAAAAGCGCAGAAAAAACGCAAACAGAAAAAAGCGCAACGGAAAAAAAGCGCAACGGTAAAAAAAACGCAAAAAAAGTAAAAAACGCAAACAGAAAAAGCACACACAAAAAAGTGTGCCCATCGAAAAATGCGCAAAGTTAAATTTTAGCATAAAGATCTCTTTACGGACTATATGACACCTTTATACGTGATTGTTAGGACTGCTGTGAGAGGGTCGTGTTTGATCTGACGCAATCTACTACCATTTAAAGAATACCACTACCATGTGCATTCATATCACCACGATACACCACGATTCAGGCGATAATCGCTTGAAACTACGCCAATTATTTTCTTGTTTACTATTTATTCAAATACTATTCTCGTATAAATAAACGTAAAACTATCCTTGATATTGGCATTACACGGAGTATCTTTTACATTCTCCCTAGTCCGAACTCCCAAGCCTGCATACTATATTAAGCCGTTCCTATCGCAAAACATCACTCTCTTTCTTCAGCGTCATCAAACATGCATTCGCTATATCTCTCGCACCAACATTCATTCGCATCAAAATACCATGATAAAACACACATCATAATCATTATGTATTTAATATTATCTCATCATGATAACCTACCTACCTACCTACCTACCTACCTACCTACCTACCTACCTACCTACCTACCTACCTACCTACCTACCTACCTACCTACCTACCTACCTACCTACCTACCTACCTACCTACCTACCTACCTACCTACCTACCTACCTACCTACCTACCTACCTACCTACCTACCTACCTACCTACCTACCTACCTACCTACCTACCTACCTACCTACCTACCTACCTACCTACCTACCTACCTACCTACCTACCTACCTACCTACCTACCTACCTACTTACCTGCCTGCCTGCCTGCCTGCCTGCCTGCCTGCCTGCCTGCCTGCCTGCCTACCTGCCTACCAACCTACCTACCTACCTACCTTCCTACCTACCTACCCACCTACTTACCTACCTACCTACCTACCTACCTACCTACCTACCTACCTACCTACCTACCTACACAAGAAGAAGTTAAAATCTAACCATCTCACTGTTCTGAAAACGTAATTTACAGCCTTCTTCAACAGTGGTCAGATTTGACAGAAATTGGCTTATAACAGCATACATGTTGGATCTAAGGTGTTATGATTGGGATTAGCATAGGATAGAGGACTAGGGTAAAATATCGTTTCATTCTTAATTGTGTCGATGTCCACACTATTATATCATTTAACTCTAGGTTAGATAGATCATAATAGGTGTAATAGGAATAGCCCTTAGTGTGTCCGACTGAACGTCCACTTACTAGATGAAGCTTTTAGTTTGTAATTACGGATGACAGCCATGTTGACCCGTGTAACCGTGGTGGAGACAGTATGGCGACGAATTGGATGTTTTCAGCAGGTTCTGGCATTTTAATTAGGTACGACAGAACTGTGGCGACATGTACATTAGGTTAGGCTTAGTGGGGAAAAACGAAGAAGCTAGGAACTGTGAGGGTTACAGGACAGTTGAACGTTTGCCTTGTGAGGGTGTAGTCGTGTTTTGTTTTGTAAAGTGAGGTAGGGACTGGGCCCTAAGACTTGACATTATTGATGACCATGTTTATTTCTTGGTTTAGACAAGACCAACAGTATCAACCATTAAAGTTAATGAGCTCAAATTGTGTTTGCGTTTTCTTGAACCTCTCACCTTTCATTAATACCAACCATACTGATGACGTCATAACATTTTCGCAAGCAGCGAAAGTTATTCATAACATTTTTATCCATAACACATGTTGGATCCAAGAAAACCTATTCATATTAAACAACTATTTATTTGTATCAGTTCTGAATGTATATGGTAATTTAAAAAACAAAAACAAATGTGAAGTGTTTTATTTTTCTTTAACACTTATAGGGTATGCTTGTTTGGGCCAAAATTAATATATATTACCTGCCTAATTTAATAATATACCTGTTACTGGTGAAGTAAAAATAATTTTAAAAAATATTATGCTAAAGTTGATTTCACCTTTTTTTTTACGGTCAGCACAATTTCAAACTGCATTTACTCTACATTACCAGACAGTTAGAGTTGTGTTAAATCAGAGGCAACTTACTGGATTAAGAATCAGATTTATACTCAAGAAGCAAAAGTTCTTGATTATAAATCGGATTCACAATTATAAAGTTTCACGAAACTTTTTCATTTTCATAAAACTTGGTTGATTTAATATGACCACCTGTGATCAAAGACCCTCTGCTGAGAAAACACCTGTGGTCAAACCCCCTATGGTCAAACCCCCTATGATCAAACCCCCTATGGTCAAAGCACCGCTATGGCCAAAGGCCCGCTGTGGTCAAACCCCCTATGGTCAAAGCCCCTATGGTCAAAGCTCCGCTGTGGTCAAACCCCCTATGGTCAAACCCCCTATGGTCAAAGCACCTGTGGTCAAAGGTCCGCGCAACTAATTTATATGTATAGCTTAGATTACCACATTTGCACAAGCCTGACTTATCTACCTTATATTGATATTCCTTCACAGTGTTTACAAGTGGACTGCTTTTTTTTGCTACTGCTATTAATTATTATATAAATAACTAGGCATGCTGCCCAGCTTCGCTTAGGCTTTCGAAAACATTGAGAATTTGAATGCTTAATTCATTCGCCCATATAAGGCGCCGGTCAGTTTTGACCCCCTCATCGTAGACTTTTCGGCCAACCAGCCCCCGTGTTCTGTCGCCCCAAGGCAAGATCCTGCCAATTTTGAAGCGCCTGCGGCGCCGGGAAGTGCCCTATCGTGCACCCGACAACTTAGCTTTATAGATCATCTAGATCTAGATGTAGAATATCTAGATCTATATGATCTAGAATCTCTATATCTAGATGATATAGAATCTCTAGATCTAGATCAAAATCTAGATCTAGAATCTCTAGATCTAGAATCCAAATAGATAAAATTTTTTTTTTAAAGTTTAGGCCAAGAATATCGAATTGTGTAGTCTACATTTCATAGCGTACATAGCCCTAAATCATATTTGAGTGAAATAGTTCATTTTTTAAAATTCTAAACTCGGAAGATGACGTAATCAGTTTCGTGCTCTTGTTTTAGTGTTTTAGAGTAAACGATAAGCGACGTCATTGTTAATTGCGTTCTTGTCCCAAGTTTATACACTCTTCCGGTTGCATAAATAATACTGTTTCTCTACATTCGAATACGCCTTTATTTTTATTTTTCTTCTTTAAATAAAATTGTGGTTATACATTTAAAACATCTAACATATTATTTTCAACAAAAGTCCGTATAAAGGTATCCATATATCGCTGCCGATTCTGACGTGATGTCCGGCGAAAATATTTTGCGGACAGGGAGAGAGAAGTGCGCACATGGGGAATTATATATTAGGATTAAATCTGTGCTTAGAAAAAAAAAGAGCAAACGCTATTTTATAGTCATTCATAAACACGCAACATAAAGAAAGGAAAGCAGATATTTTTTTGGAAGGGAGGGAGGTGGAGAAGATATAAGATAATTATGAGGGGTTAACCAGTTGTTGTGGGGATATGCCCTCGTCGTTTTTGTGGCTTAAAGTTATCTATGTAATTTCATTTGCTAATTATTAAATTCAAAGTTAAGAAATGACCGACAATGACATACATCGCAATACTACTATTGCAAAGGAAAACATTAGTTATTTTGAACATCTCTTCGACCCTTCAGTCAGCGTTTATAATATTTTTACACCTGGCGACACAACTGAATGATCTGGTATGATAACCGTTCATGTAGTAAATAACCAAAGTAAAAAAAATAACTTTAAGAACATTGTCAATGCCAGATGTTTATTTTTTCTATAAGTTTATTTTATTCATTTTGTGTTCTGCAAGGGAAAAACATACAACAGAGTTAAAAAAGCATTACAGTTTTATTTAAAAACCAATATATATATATATACTAGGCATGCTGCCCAGCTTCGCTTAGGCTATCGAAAACATTGAGAATTCGAATGCTTAATTAATTCGCCCGAGGGTCGGTCTACGACCTCAGGAGTTATGAAGAGGTTCCTACGTGGACATTTATTTCGATTTATAGCTCATATAAGGCGCCGGTCAGTCGAGGTCAGTTTTGACCCCATCATCGTAGACTTTTCGACCAACCGGCCCCCGTGTTCTGTCGCCCCAATGCAAGATCCTGCCAAATTTGAAGCGCATGCGGCGCCGGGAAGTGCCCTATCGGGCACCCGACAACTTTGCTTTATTTATTAAAGAGATAAGCAAATTGCATAGATAAACAAAGATTTCAATA